ACATCAAATAGAACATCAGCCTGGATGATGAGATGGATCTTTTACAGATATACAAGTAGCTACCAGATTAGTTGTACAGCTTTTATAGAATAGTTTTGTATATAAATTTTCCCTCCAGTGCTGCATTACAATACATGCAGTGTTGTCAGTCAAATAGTAGCCTCTCTGGTATAAACAGGAAAAAAGGTGAAAGGGGAAGTTTTGAGAAGACAGAAATAAGCATTTTACACACCAAATTAGAGCAGGAGGCTGACCCGCTTACTGTGAAGTGAGGTTCCGTTCATATATAAGACAGAAAATACCTTATTTTGAAAAGCCCATCAAGTAGAATTGACATCCCATAAATGAATTGATAATCATCTCCCAAAAGTTCTAACCCTTCAAAGCATAGTCCATTCATTTAAAAACGAATCTTGTGGGGAGGAGAAGGGGGGGGGGAGGGAAAAGGCATAGATAATTGAGTGCAGGGTAAATAAGAGAGGTTTAATGGTATACTTGGCTCCTTCCAGGTTGGATTCCTGTGTAGCTGGAAGAGAAGTGAATGAGGAACTTTTGTTCTGTGATGTGGGTTTAGAGATTTCAATATTAGTTTCAAAGTAAAATAGGTTCACTAACTCGAATGCAATGTCATTTGTATGACAATCAAAAGGCTGACTTTAAACATACCAAAGGAAACAACTCCCCACCCCCTACCCACCCCGGCACTGAACAATTGAACAAAAGATATTTTAATGCTGTACTGAAGTACTCAAGAGGCAAGTTTAAAATAACCCAAACAAGTTACTTCAGGCGGGCATAGCCTTGTGGCGAGGAATCAACTGGCAAATCTGATACAAACTGCTCATTCAGGCAGGGATTAGCAATGCCAATCACTGTACAATCCACTGGACAAACGGATGACCACAGAATGTTGCCTGGTGCCTCCCATCAGCTGGAAGGGCAGAATGCTTTGATCCATGGAAATATCCATAACCATGGTTAACACTGCAACTTATTCAGCGAACTGAAGGCACGTTTACGAGGAAAGGGCTGCATCTGACAATTAATTTTCTTCCTTACCAACAAAGCAATTTAACCAGCACAGACTGCTGATTTGGGGTTTCCTATGGACCTTTCAGCTGGATATAATTCTAAACTGATGGGAGTAACTGAGGTCTAAAGAGTGATTAATACTAGCTTGCTATGCAGATAAGAGAGCATCAAATACAGAAAATTTAAGAACGCTGCAATAGATTCAGAGGGCGGAATGGAGGATCTGCAGAAAAACGACAAGTGACATCAATATGACGTCACACTCAAAAGACAGAACCAGAAAAAAAACTGAACTAAAAAAAAACCTTACATGAAAACCATAATCCAGAGTGAGAGAGAGAGAAGAGAATGGCATGGCAGGTGTTGTGCGATGACGCAGTATGTGGGAGTTGATGGAGGGCAGCCTGAGCCTGGCTGACTACATTCTGCAGCAAGTGTCTGCAACTGAAGACGCTCCAGCTTAGAGTAGCTGAGCTGGAATCCGAGGTGCAGATATTGCACAGTATTAGGGAAGGTGAGAGCTACCTGGATAGTTTCATCCAGGAGACAATCCCTCCCCTGAGGCTCAGTAAATGTATAGCTCCTGCTACTTGTCAGAGACAGGATAGTGTGACTGACAGTCAGGCAGGTAAGGGGACCCCAGAGAGAATGGTGGAGAAGCCTCGGGCTTTAACCTTGTCCAAAGGGAACGAGGTACTTGCAACCTGTGTGGACAAGGAAGTCTGTAAGGAGGAGGATGGGCAAACTGACCCCAGCATCTCTATACAGGAGGCCACACAAGTGGAGGGAGCAAAACAGAATGTGGTTGTGATAGGGGATGAGACAGTCAGGCAGACAGACACTCTTCTCTGCAGCCGCAACCAGCAGTCACAAAGGCTCTGTTGCCTTCCTGGCGCCAGGGTTGTGACGACCTGAGGAGTAAGTTCAATGAACTGGGAATGAAATTAAAAGAACTTCCAAGGTGATAATCTCCAGATTACTACCTGAGCCACGCGCAAATTGGTACAGGGACAAACAAATTGAAGAGTTAAACGAAAGGGAGCAACATTGCAAGGAAGAGTCATGGCTGTAGAGCAGAGTAGCAACTTGGGAAATAAAGAACAGAGTGTGGGGGGGCCTTGCTAATAAAGGATGAGATAAAAACAGTAGAGATTTTTAAATCAGAAAATCAGGATGTAGAGTCAGTATAGGTGGAGGTGAGAAACAACAAGGGTCAGAAAACACAAGTGGGAGTAGTTTATAGACCCCCAAACAGCAGTTACAGTATTGGGCAGGGTATTAATCAGGAAATTAGAGAAGCATATAGCAAGGGAATACACTAATAGTGAGTGATTTCAATCTTCATATAGAATGGGAAAACCAAATTGGCAAAAGTAAATTAGAGGATGAGCTTATAGAATGCATTAGAGATAGTTTTCTAGAACAATATGCTGAGGACCAACCAGGAACAGGCGATCCTAGATCTTGTTTTGTGTAATGAAATAGGGCTAATCAGCAATCTGGAAGTTAAGGCTCCTCTAGGGCAGAGTGACCATAACATGATGGAATTCAACATTAAGTTATTTTTATATTTATATATTTATATATTATATTTGAATCTGAAGCAAGAGTCTTAAATCTAAATAAAGCCAACTTTGCAGGTATGAGAGAAGATTTGGCTAAAATAGACTGGAAAATTAGATTAAAAAATGACGGTAGACCAGCAATGGCAAATGTTTAAAGATATAGTACATAATTCCCAGCAATCACATATTCCCTTGAAAAAAAATACCACTGGAAAAGTGGTTCAACCTTGGCTAAATAGAGAAGTTAGGGACAGTATAAAATTAAAAGAGGCATATAACACTGACAAAAATAGCAGTAAACCTGAGGATTGGGAGTGCTTTAGAGATCAGCAAAGGAAAACCAAGAAACTGATTAAGAGGGAGAAAATGGAATATGAGAGTAAACTAACTAGGAATATAAAGACAGATTATAAGAATTTTTACAAGTAAATAAAGAGGAAGAGACTATCAAAAGTGAATGTGGGTCCATTGCAGGCAGAGACAGGAGCAATTATAATGGGGTATAAAGAAATGGCAGTCATTAAACAAATATTTTGCTTCTGTCTTCACGTTAGAGGACACTGATAACTTACCGAAAATAGAGGGGAACCTGGTGGCTAATGTTAGTGAGGAACTTAAAGAAATGAACATTAGTAAAGCACGAGTACTAGAGAAATTGATGGGATTAAAAACCGATAAATCCCTTGGACCTGATGGCCTGCATCCTAGGGTTTTAAAAGAGGTGGCTGGAGAGATAGTGGATGCTTTGTTTTTGATCTTCCAAAATTCCCTGGATTCTGGAATGGTTTCCCAGTGATTGGAAGATCGCAAACGTAACACCAATATTTAAGAAGGGTGGGAGACAAAAAATGGGGAACTACAGACCAGTTAGTCATAAATCGGAAAATTCTTAGAGTCCTTAATTAGGGATGTCGTCGTGGAGCACTTAGAAAATCATAACATGATTAGGCAGAGTCAACATGGCTTTACGAAAGGGAAATCATGCTTAACAAATCTTATTGAGTTTTTTGAGGATGTAACTAACAGGTTAGATGGGGGGGAAACCAGTAGATGTGGTGCATTTGGATTTCTAGAAGGTATACGACAAGGTGCCACATAAAAGGCTGTTGCATAAGATTAGACTCCATGGAATTACAGGCAATATATTAGCATGGATTGGAGAATGGCTAATAGGAAGAAAACAGAGAATAGGGATAAATGGGTCCTTCTCAGATTGGCAGGATGTGACTAGTGGAGTGCCACAAGGATCAGTGTTTGGTCCTCAATTATTTACAGTCTATAGAAATGATTTAGATGAGGAAATAGAACTTAACATATCTAAATTCGTGGACAACGAAGATAGGTGGGAGAGTAAGCTGTGGGGATGACACACGAAGAATGCAAAGGGAAAAAGACAGGCTAGGTGAGTGGGCAAGAAGGTGGCAGATGGGAGTATAACGTGGGGAAGTGTGAAGTTATTCACCTTGGTAGTAAAAATAGAAAAGCGGATTATTTTCTAGAGGGGAGGAGACTAGTTTTCAGAGGGATTTGGGTGTCCTTGTACACCAGTCACAAAAAGTTAGCATGCAGGTAAAGCAAGCAACTAAGAAAGCTAATACCATGTTGGTGTTCGTTGCAAAAGGGTTAGAGTACAAGAGTAGGGAAGTCTTGCTGCAGTTGTATAAGGCCTTGGTGAGAACACACCTAGAATATTGTGTGCAGTTTTGGTCTCATTTAAGAAAGGACATACTCGCCTCAGAGAGGGTGCAGCGTAGATTCATTAGGTTGGTTCCTGGGATGAGGGGTTGAACTATGAGGATAGGTTGAGTAAACTAAGCTTATATTCTCTAGAATATAGAAGAATTAAAGATGATCTTATAGAAACCTCCATCTGCCACCTTCTTGCCCACTCACCTAGCCTGTCTTTTTCCCTTTGCATTCTTCATGTGTCATCCCCACAGCTTACTCTCCTATCTTCTACCTTGACAGGGTAGATGCCGTGAGACTGTTTCCCCTGGTTGGAGAATCTAAAATAGTCATAGTCTCAAGATTAAGGGTCAGCCTTTTCAAACTGAGTTGAGGAAACATTTCTTCACTCAGAGGGTAGTGAATTTGTGGAATTCTCTACCCCAGAAGACTGTGGATGCTCAGTCCTTGAACATATTCAAGACTGGAGTTGATAGATTTCTGAAGGATAGAGGAATTAAGGGATATGGGGATAGAGCGGGTAAATGGAATTAGGTTAGAAGATGAGCCATGATCTTATTAAATGGTGGGGCAGGCTCGAGGGGCAGAATGGCCTACTCCTGCTCCTACATCTTATGGCCTTAAAAGAACTTTTTCTGAGAGACAATTATTTGAAAACAGTTTTGAGAACTGGCTTTAAAGTTCCATAGAACTAATTGTGTATGCTTTGTGCCTTACCCTCTGGAAAAGCTGCTGCCCCAGATAGGTGGAAGCCACTCTGGCGATGTTCTTGCTGCCCCCGAGCTTGCACCGGATGTATCCGTACAGATTCGCTGCTTGCAAGGAGAGTCCCGCTATGACCAAGGCCTGAAAGTCACAGGACATTGAGTAAACTGTAACCAAAGATGCACAAGTCAAACGAACACTGAATTCTACATCAGAAAATAAGGCATGAAGTGAGAAAAGGCCATTCGGCCCCCCACAGCCCATTGCTGAATCCTGTGGCGTAGTGGTTAGCGCGCTCGCCTCGCAAGCGAGAGGACCCAGGTTCGATTCCCGGGATGGGGAAACATTAGGCAAGTTTGTTTACTCCATCCACGTGCCTTTGTTTACCTAACGGTAAGTAGCAACCCGGTTGTTAAATCGATTTAACTTAATTTAAGTCCCAGCGCCTTGGGACGTCCTCCCGACGTGAAAGGCACTATACAAATGTAATCTTGTTGTTGTTGTTGATTTGCAGATCGCTTTCTGGGGGTAATAATCCCCTCAAAATAAATAAACAAATAAATAATAATTTGGTCACTCAATCCATGACTGTTTAGTGGAACACTGCTGAGTGCAATTGGCTGCTGTGTTTCACCCACAAAATATACAGTCAATTCACTTTACAGTATATCCTGTGAAGCGCTTTGCGACCTCTCACCGACATCAAGTGCAACAACAAAAGCAAAATTACATTTGTAAAGCACTTTTCACGTTGGGAGGACGTCCCAAGACACTGGATTATTGCAAGATGCAATAATGTAAGGATTATTATTAATATCTAATTTTCCAATTTCCCCCAAATCAAGGAAACTGAATACATTGTTAAACAAACTTTACTTGAATCATTTTGGACTACAAAACTGGCCGACCTCCAGCTTTGTAAGGTCGTCGCAGCTAACACTTTAGGGAGTTGCATCATCATTACCTTACCACAAGGAGTTGGCCTTTTTTTATTTAGTTGAAAAGATCACTATAAATCAAAGAAATCCCTCACAAACAGAGAAAAAAAATCAAAATAACATAAATTTCGATGTTATCCATCAAAAATTGAAAAAATACGAATTGAAAATTGGTAACTCTATTTTTTTACTCAAGCAAATAGCTACAGGGAGGAATCGTTTTCAGCGAATAAATCTCTCAAATCACACGGTTTACTTACGGCTTTGGGTTCAAAGCTGCATTTGCCCTCCAATTTGAATATAATAGATTCTACTCAAAGGTAAAATATTAATCAAATTCACTTTGTACTTCGATAAGAGTAATGGAAACCTCAATGTTTACTTTTTATGGATGGATCCTTTTCCCGGATGATACTTTTAGATCTAACAGAAAGTTACAGAAAAGGGACAGAAACAAGCAATTCAGCCTCCAACTATTCCTTGCCAATGTTTATACTCCATACAAGCCTCCACACACCCTCTTGCTGTTATTCTGTAAAGGAAGAATTTAGATAAACCGATTGTCCTGGAATTGCAGTTGGCTTCCAGATTACCTCCTCTGTGTTATTACTTTCCAAAACTAAACAAGTACAGGCAACAAAGCATTCCACACAGTCGGCTTCACATCGGAAACCTTAGCCATTGAATCCAAGCATGAAGCTAAACAGTCCACGCAGTTCACAACCCTACAAGCAAGTAACAACCAGAGACAAACAGTTTACACCAAGGATAGGAAATGGCTCACATGGTGGCAGATTCCTAAATTGATCAGGAATAAGGTTGTGTAACATTTCTGTATTTTGAAACACAGCTCTTTCAGAGCCAGACCTCTCCTCTTTGAGAACCCCAAGTGTTTATCTTATGGACATAAATTGCAAACCCAGCAGAATGGCAGTTTCCAATAAATGGTATCACTGGATGGCATGATACGATGCATTGTATCACATAGCGGCATGACACAGTGTGTTTTATCACCGAGTGGTGTGATACAGTGTGGGTCCACATTGTAATTCACAATCGTGATGTGGAGATGGTATGAAAGTGCTGAGCGGAGACCAGACACTCAAATCTAGGGGAGAGGTGCAATGAAAGGTGCAATGGCTTGCTCTCATACACCAAGCTCCCATGTCACAGCGGGGTGTTGGCAAGCACCAGATTAACTGGCCAAAAAAGGCCCAAATCAGAATCACAGAAATACAATACAGAAGGAGACCCTCACCCTATTTTCAAAAGGCAGATTAACGTTCCACAAACAGGAAAAATAAGTCACTGGAATGTCACCATTGAAGCATCTTACCAGCCACTTCAGCTTCAGGGAGAATAAGGTGCTGAACAGAAACACGGTCCATATTAAAGGGCAGACGATCAGTCCCAGCCAGAAGATCTGAGCTTCTGCTTCAGTGGATGTAGCCCTGTTCTTTGGGGAAGACTGGGAAGAAATGAATGAGTATTAGACATGTCGACCTGTATTGTGAATTCCTGTAGCTCAATGGATAGAGCACTCGCCTCGCAAGTGAGAGGACTTGGGTTCGATTCCCAGTAGGGGGGAATATCAAACGTTGGGCAAATTTCCTTACTCCACAAGCCTCCGTTTACCTAACAGTAAGTAGGAACCCGGTTGTTAGTCGATTGGCGGATCGCTTTTCCAGAAGTAATAATCACTTCAAAAAACATTTTTAAAAAAAATTTGGTCACTCAATCCACAACCGTTTATGGGTCATTGTTGTGCGCAACTGTCTGCCGTGTTTCACCCACAATCTATAGAGTCAATTCACTTTCCAGTATATTCACTTTACAGTACATTCTATGAAGTGCTTTGAGACGTCTAGAAGACCTGATAAGAACATAAGAATTAGGAGCAGGAGTAGGCCATTCGGCCCCTCGAGCAACCCCACCATTCGATAAGATCATGGCTGATCTTCTGACCTAACTCTAATTACCTGCTCTATCCCCAAATCCCCTAATCCCTCTATTTTTTAAAAATCTATCAGTCTCAGCCTTGAAGATGTTCAAGGACTGAGCATCTACAGCCTTCTGGGGGAGTGAATTCCATAAGTTCACTGCCCTCTGAGTGAAGAAATATTACCTCAATTCTGTTCTAAAAGGCTGACCCTTAATTTTAAGACTGTGACCCCTGGTTATAGATTCTCCTACCGGGGAGACAGTCCCTCAGTGTCTACTTTATCAGCCCTTTAAGAATCTTATATGTTTGAATAAGATCTCCCCTAATTCTTCTGTACTCTAGAGAATACAGCCCTAGTTTATTCAGCCTATTCTCATAGGTCAGTCCCCTCATCCCAGGAACTAATCTATAATAATAATAATAATAATTCTTGCATTTGATATAGCGCTTCTCACGTCGGGAGGACGTCCCAAAGCGCTTCACAGAACACACTGTAAAGTGAATTGACTGTATATTTGTGGGCGAACGCGGCAGTCAATTGCTCACAACCTAGTGAATCTACGCTGCACCCCCTCTAGGGCACGTATGTCCTTTTTTAAATAAGGAGATCAAAACTGCACACAATACTCTAGGTGACGTCTCACCAAGGCCCTATACAGTTTCAGCAAGACTTCCCTACTCTTGTACTCTAAACCTTTTGCAATGAATGCTAACATACCGTTCGCCTCCTTAGTTGCTTACTGCACCTGCAAACTAACGTTTTGAGACTGGTGTACAAGGACACCCAAATCCCTCTGAAAACTATCACTAATCTCTTCCCCCTCTAGAAAATAATCTGATTTTCTATTTTTGCTAACTAGGTGAATAACTTTCCCACATTAAATTCCACCTGACACCTACTCGCCCACTCCCCTCGCCTATCTATATCCCATTGCAATCTTATTGCATCATCGTCAGAGTTTATTCTCCCACCTAGTTTAGTGTCATAAGGCGCTAGATCAAAAAAAGCAAGGTTTATTTGTTAGCTCAAAGTAAAAAAAAAACTGGAGCAGCATTCAGCGGCATTTATTATGTGATCTTAGTCAAGAATTTGTTTCTATAATTACATTGTGACAGAGTAAATAGCTCTTCCCTTGCAAAGTAACCCCAGCTTCACACAAAGGCTCAGTGAAAGTCCTGACTTAGTAATAATTTGTTAATCTTTGCATTTTTGCAGAGCTCTTATAACATCAAAATACCTCAAAGAGTCTCACAGGTAAGTGCTGGCAATTGTAATTTGTAGGTAAACATATCAATAAGATCCAGCAAACACCCTTCCAATAAAACAAAGTACAGTTAATGATTGGTTTAATTTTATAACTATATAATACACCATCAAGCTAGGTACTTGTGACTCAATTCACTGAGCAATTGGATACTGAATTTCGCCCATAAAATAGTCAATTCACTTTACAATATACAGGGTGACGTAAATTAGACCTTATATATGATGACTGAACTAAATATGTAGAAATTATAAATGCTTTTGTACCCCTACCCTCTATTCCAGCATAAATCTTTGTAGTGCAGGATGGCCAAAAAGTTGATACATTACAATGTCTAAGTCTAAAAGATAAGATATTTTGGGGATTTTTTAGATAATAGGGCAATTATCACATCTTTTTGGTCACCCTGTATTCTGTGAGGCTCTTTAAGACGTCTCAATGACATGATAAGGTACTATATCAAATGCAAAGATTATTAATATTATTCCTGGAAAACAGTCCTAATAGTTTCAGGCAACATGATTTCAGAGCGCTACAATCTGACCCTTTTCAAAGCTGCAAAATTAAACATAATTAAGTTTATAATTCTAACGAGTTATTGAGCTAGAAATCATGCCACTATACCTTGCTCTCTAGAACTCTAAAAATCCCTCTGCCACGAAATCGCCCTCTCTGCTTTCAAAACTAAACTTAAAAAACCTTTGACCTTGCCCTCGATCATCTCCCTCCTACCCACACCTCCCACCCCACACTCCTGTGAACGCACTTGTATAAGTACAAGTTATTGTTAATGTGTGTTACACTTCTCCTAAATGTCATAAAAAATGTTATTGCCTACACAGCACCATATCATTACCAGTTAGTGAAAATATACATTAAAAAAGTAACAAAAGTATCTGCAGGAAAGGCAGCTCCCTGGCTAAAGTACATCAGTCTTCCCTTGATACACAGAACAATCTTCCATTACCTATTTCCTGGCAGTAATTTGTGTTTAGACTACAGCCAATTATTAATAGATTTCGAAATAAGTGTTTTCTAAACTACTTAATGAGAGCAGTGTTCCTCTTCGAGTGTGCCTTTGATCATCACACGCCTAATAATAATCCCTCCAAAACCAAAAACAATAATAAATTGGTCATTTTCAATCTACGACTGTTTGTGGGACATTGCTGTGTGCAATTGGCTGCCGCGTTCGCCCACAAATATACAGTCAATTCACTTTACAGTGTGTTCCGTGAAGCGCTTTGGGACGTCCTCCCGACGTGAAGAGCGCTATATCAAATGTAAGGATTATTATTATTGTTACCATCCCAAACCCCTTGCCCTCCATACCACAGCTCATGTCCAGTGCCAATAAATGGTCTGAAGTGCATGGCGTAACAGGGAGACCCACAGGCCAGACCTTGCCTGACTGACAGGGAAACTGTATAGCTGACAAAGAATCTGAAAAACAGGAAATGATAATAAAAGTGTAAAACGGTAAACAAAAACTCTTTCTACGGTGGAAATACTTTGTCCTCCGGTAGAAAGAGGTTTCAGGATTTAATAAACAATTTACCTTTTTAGCTTCGAAAACCCAATGGCTTTTCCCATCTTCATCAATCTGGTTCCACCAGCGCAGGCCAACCAACAGCCGCCCCGTTACATTCTGCAGTCAAGAAACCACAGCTTTAGGCTCGAAAATTATTAATAACATCAGGGAGTTCCTTAGGGTAGTGGTTAGCGCAGTCCCAAGCAAGAGGACCAGGGTTCAATTTCCAGGCAAAACCTTAGCCAAGTGTCCTTACTCCACATGCCTCTGTTTACCCAGCAGTAAGTAGGAACCCGGTTGTTAGTTAATTGGCGGATCGCTTTCCGGGGTTAATAACCCTTTGCAAAAAAAATTTGGGTCAAACCATGGCTGTTTGTGGGACACTGCTGTGCGCAAATGGCTGCCGCGTTTCGCTCACAAAATACACAGTTAATCAACC